CAGGGTTGCCTGTCGATTCATATATACTGAACTAATGCAACAAACTCATGACTAGTTAGGAGTGTCGTTTCGAGTATTGTAAGCAATAAAACCACTCCATGATTAGCTGGTAATGCCGAATCGAACATACGTAATAACAGAACCATTCCATTATAAGTTAGAACTATCGATTTGAGCAAAGATAATTACTCCATTGCCCATAACAACCAGGACCACTAACTGAAGAATATTGACAAACAGAACCACTCCACGAGCAGTTAAAACAGTCAGTTCGAATGTCGTTACTAACAGATATATTCAATGGTCGGTTAGAATAGTCGTTTCGAATATACTGACTGACACAACCACAACAAGATCAACTAAGGTTTTTGATTCAAATATGCTGACTAATAGAAACATTCTACAAATAGTTCAGACTCCAGATTCAAGTGTAGTTTCGAAAAAAATACACTTTATAGCTTGTTAAAACTTTATTTTGCATCACATTGATTGGTAGAACCACTTCATGACCAATTAGAGCTATTGATTCCGGTATAACGGCAAAAATAACTATTCCATGTCTAGTTAGAACTTTCAATTCAAGTATATTTACGAACACAGCCATTTCATCATCAGTTAGCACAGTTACACCATGACTATCCATCCGAGTATATCAAACAAATGAACCATCCCATGACTAATTATGACTGTTGATTAAAGCACACTTGATAACAGAACCTTTCCATGATCAATTTAGACTGTCCATTCAAGTATAATAATTATTATAACTAATATATATATATATATTGGCTAACAGAATCATGTCATGACTAATTATGACTGTTGATTAAAGCACACTTGATAACAGAACCTTTCCATGATCAATTTAGACTGTCCATTCAAGCATAATAATTATTATAACTAATATATATATATATATATATATTGGCTAACAGAATCATGTCATGACTAATTAGGAATGTCAATTTACATACATAGAACAAATCCATAGCCAAAGAAGACTGTTGATCAGAATGTGGTTATTAACATAACCGCTTCAAGAACTGTTAGGGTTGTCGATTTGAGTATGATGATGGTTAGAATCACTCCATGATCAGCTTGGACTTTCGATTCACTTAGACTGACTAACACAACCAATTAATGGTTGGTTAGACCAATCATTTTGAGTAAATTTGTTGTTAGAACTAGTCTATGACTAGTTATATTAGAACCAAATTAAGTGTATCACCTAAAATACCCGTTCATGACTAATTAATAGTAGGACTACTCCATTGTTACTTAGGAATTCTGGTTCTTATGAATTGACGGACAGTTCCATTTTATCCCCGGTTAGTACTGTCTATTGGAGTATTCCATTTTATTCCCGGTTAGTACTGTCTATTGGAGTATTGTTAGCATACTTACTAACAGAAGCACTCTATGATCAGTTAGGATGATCGATTCGAGTTACCCTAACGAACAAGAACATTCTAGAACTGTTGGTTCGAGAGTATTAACAAACAGTGGCACAGCGGTATTTCTGCGGACTTACAACGCTAGAATCCGGGTTTCGATACCCGTGGTGGGCAGAGCACAGATATCCCATTGTGTAGTTTTGTGCTTAATTACAAACAAAATTAACAAACAGAATAATCCCACAAATAGTTACAATTTCAGATTCGGCTCTAGTTTCTAGTAAAACCATTCCCAGTCTAATTAGGACTGTCGATTAGAATATATTGACTGAAATAACCACTCCATGATCAGTTAGGGATATGCATTCCAGTTTACTAACTATAGCTATTAGAACCGTTCCACTATTAGTTATGACCGAAGATTCTATTATAATTCCAAGCATAACTACACCGTAGGCTGAAGCTACCTCCTATTGGAATTACTGGTATATGTTGACCAAATTGTACAAATGTGTTATTTAGTAAAATATACAAGGCCTACAAAATTCGTTTCATGTAAAACAGTTGTAATTCTTTGTGAATGACATTGTCGTAGAAGATTCTGTATTTATTGCCGCAGAGTAATATTTAACCCGAATTATCAGATGACCTTGAAATTGTTGATTAAATATTCTTCTTAATTTCATCAATAGGTAAAATAGTGTAAAGAGAAAACAAAAGACATTTGATTCTAGTAAACTTTACATAGACGAACCCCTGTTCTCTCTTTTTAGTAACATTGGTGTATTTATTTAAATGCTTTTTAATGTATTTTAGACAATTAATTATTATAATTTAGAATTCCTTGGTCTTGGTCGCAGTCTTTTTAGCCCCGATATTAAACCTGTATTTGTACAGTATTTTAAGTAACTCGGGAATCCAGAATAATTTAGGTATCACATTGTTTGATTTAACATATTATGTACATAATGTACATATTAAGACTGTCGATTCGTATATCGTTACTTGTAAGCCTACTTCGTTTGGAAAATTTGTTCCCTTTCGTTTATACCTCGTCCTCCGGTAGGTCAGTGGTAAGTTTGCGGACCTACAATGCTAAAACCTGGGATTCGACTCCCTGTGCTGAACACAGTGTAAGTTGTTCGTTATGTAGCTTTGCACATAATCAAACAAACAAAGTTTATACCTAACATCATAACAATAGTATATTCAGAGCTCATATCTCCCTCCGCATAAGACTGGAATAACGAATTGAATGTACGATAATCAACCTAGCTATAAAATATTTTTAATATTAACAAAGCGCTTTTGTGTTTTTCTAACAAGATTTTTGTAATAATTATGCATGCAACACAATTAAATAGTTAAGTGAATTTTTTTTTGAATAATAGACGAATTCTTTTATGAGCGATGCTCGCTATCACGTTTCTCTTAAAACATTCTTCTCCATTCCCGCTTGTTAAATGTTCGCACGTGCACCACATCTATGCTCATGCACTCGAGAGATAAAAAGTGTTAGTTTGGAACCACTTGACTTCAGTCGTCAATTTTGAACAAAACATGTTCGTTAAACACACAGAACAATGTAAAAAAAAAAAATTGGCACTATTCTAATAACGTGTTGATTATTCTTACATATTACTTACAAAACAGTAATTTGTTTTTCGATTTCTTATAAGTCTGGCTTTAGTCTTATTTATATTACATGGGTATTGTATGGGTACCACTCATATACCGTGCAATAAAAATCCTTTTGTTGAAATGTCAAATCCTTCTCTTAATTTTCAGTTTGATCTAATATTGTAGAAATACACTAAGTTTAAGAATATGGTAAACAGCTTGATAACGTTTTATTTTTTTAATATACATAATCATTGAGCTACCTGAAATATCTTGAGATATAGTGGTATATATATATACCCTTGTCATACACAGCCTAAAGTATTAATCCAAAATATTTCTTATAATACCGAAAACTTAAAAGATTAATCTTAACTATCTCTTGTAATAAACTGTTTAATAGATAACTCCCATTTCTGTTATAAAGAGTGCTTAAAAGCTTATTATAAAAACATAGTTTATCATATAAAGAATCTGATTACTTGATCCAAAAGTCTTCTTGTTATGTAAGGACTGACTATACAAGTTAATCCAAAAATATTCTTGTCATATTAAAATTTTAAAATCTTAATCAGATTTATTTGTTACCCTACTAGAAGTTTATATGCTCAACCCAAAATATTTCTTGCCATATATTAGAAGTTTAAATGTTTGATCCAAAATATTGCTTGTTATACAAAGCGTTTAAATATTTATTCCATATAATGTCTTGAATACAAATCATTTCAATAAAGTTCTATTAATGGCTGGAGACGGCTTGAATGGGTAATGAAGAAAAACTTTAATATAACAGCAAATGTACAAC